CCCACTGATTTCTAGAAACTTCTCCAGCCTCTAAAGCAGGGAGAGGTATCAGAAAACGGACCTGCAGAGCCCTCTGTTCTGACCTAAGGCAACCTGACTCACTCACACCCAGGTTGACTCAGCCTCTGCCTAAAAAAACTACCTAGCTAATCCTAGCTAAACTTGAGGGCGCTACACATAATTAAGGGCTCATTCTCAGAGGTATTCTGGCTGTATGAATAAGTGGTTGTTCATGTGGCTGGAGCCCCTGTTAAGCTTGGTTCACTGTTCCTGTCAGTTAGGCTGTATAGGGCCCCATGATTTCCAACAGCAGCCCTGATGATAAGAATGATAGTATTTAGGTGTATGCTTATCAAGACAGCTCTCCTCTACATGCCTGTTTATGAAGCGGTGTAGATTGCTTCTCCTAATGAGAGAGAGAAATGATCTACAAATGCTTTGATCTCTGGAAAACGGCGACTGTTGCTGCAATCTCACGAGATATAGCATGATTATAGTAACAAGAGATCAGTGAAAAACACAAGTCTATTAAGCAGAGGTGAACAACCGCTGCTTAGTTGGCGTCTCTCCTCAGTACCTCACTAAACTGCATACATAAATAATACACACACACATACTGTATGTATATATATATATATATATATATATATATATATATATATATACAGTTGTGTTCAAAATAATAGCAGTGTGTTGAAAAAAGTGAATAAAGCTCAAAATCCTTCTAATAGCTTTTATTTCCATACACACAAATGCATTGGGAACACTACACATTCTATTCCAAATCAAAAATATGAAGAAAAATATATCAAATTTGTGTTGTTCCTCTAAAAGAATTGAAGAAAAGTGAATATTAATAATATAAAAATAGCAGTGTTTGTATTCTTCTTTACAAACTCAAACATTCACTATATAAACTGAAAAATGTTTGAAGATTTTGCTTTCCTTTGAATCACTTAATTAATATTTAGTTGTATAAGCACTGTTTCTGAGAACTGCTGTACATCTGTGTTGCATGGAGTCAACCAACTTCTGGCACCTGTGAACAGGTATTCCAGCCCAGGATGATTGGACTACATTCCACAGTTCTTCTCTATTTCTTGGTTTTGCCTCAGAAACTGCATTTTTGAGGTCATCCCACAAGTTTTCTATTGGATTAAGATCCAGGGTTTGGGCTGGACACTCCATAACGTCAATCTTGTTGGTCTGGAACCAAGATGTTTGCACGTTTACTGGTGTGTTTGGGGTCGTTGTCTTGTTGGAACACCCATTTCAAGGGCATTTCCTCTTCAGCATAAGGCAGCATGACCTCTTCAAGTATTCTGATGTATTCAAACTGATCCATGATCCCTGGTATGCGATAAATAGGCCCAACACCGTAGTATGAGAAACATCCCCATATCATAATGCTTGAGCAACCATGCTTCACTGTCTTCACAGTGCTTGAATTCAGTGTTTGGGGGTCGTCTGACAAACTGTCTCCGGCCACTAGACCCAAAAAGAACAATCTTACTTTCATCAGTCCACAAAATGTTGCACCATTTCTCTTTAGGCCAGTCAATGTGCTCTTTGGCAAATTGTAACCTCTTCAGCACATGTCTTTTTTTCAACAGTGGGACTTTGCGGGGGGTTCTTGCACATAGCTTGGCTTCACATAGGTGTCTTCTAATTGTAACAGTACTCACAGGTAACTTTAGACCTTCTTTGATCTTCTTGGAGCTGATTGTTGGCTGAGTCCTTGCCATCTCCTAGATTGTAAGCTCGAAAGAGCAGGGCCCTCGAACCTCTTGTGTATTGTATTGTACTGTTTTGTCTCATGTTCTGTCCCCCCCGCTATTGTACAGCGCTGAGCAAACCCTTTGGCGCTATATAAATACTGTATAATAATAATAATTTTGGCTATTCTTCTATCCATTCGAATGGTAGTTTTTTCGCTTTCTTCCACGTCTTTCAGGTTTTGGTTGCCATTTTAAAGTATTTGCGATCATTTTAGCTGAGCAGCCTATCATTTTCTGCACTTCTTTATATGTTTTTTTCCCCTCTCCATCAACTTTTCAATCAAGGTACACTGTTCTTCTGAGCAATGTGTGGAACGACCCATTTTCCTTCCTCAGAATTTCAGAGAGAAATGCACTGTAAACAGCATGTACAACACTTGCTGCCTTCCTTCCTTAAATAAGGGCAATAATTGCCACCTGTTTTTCAAAGAATGAATGACCTCACTAATAGAACTCCACACTGCTATTATTTTGAACACATGCCCCTTTCAATTAGTGATTCAATTACACAGAATCACCAGCATGCATGTCATGACTGTTGGTTCTGTTGGATTTCTATTACTCTAGTACACCTGCTAGTAAATTATTTGCCATGTAGAAATATCATTTCTACCAAAAACAGTGATTGATCAGGTTAGTGATGTTTTGACTGCTATTATTTTGAACACAACTGTGTGTGTTGTATATATATATATATATATATATATAATATATATATATATACAGTGGGGCAAAAAAGTATTTAGTCAGCCCACCAATTGTGCAAGTTCTCCCACTTAAAAAGATGAGAGAGGCCTGTAATTGGCATCATAGGTAGAGACCACTTAACTATGAGGGACAAAATGAGAAAAAAAATCCAGACAATCACACAACTTCCAGACAACTTGCACAATTGGTGGCTGACCAAAATACTTTCTTTGCCCCACTGTATATATACTGTATTGGAGGGTGAAAGGCAGGGGGCTTTTCTGCTGTCTTGGAAGCTCTGCATAAAGAAGAAGAAGACAGTCCCATAAACTTCCTCCTTCCTCTTCAGTTCTCCAGCAATCCATTCTTATCTCTCCCTAAATCTCTGCCTGCCTCTGGGTTGGAGAATTTGGGAGTGAGAATTTTCACAGAGATTACCAGTGAGAGGGCTGACATCTCACCTTCATAAACTGGTCATTTCTATTTCTATTCTGTTAGTGACAGATTCTTAGTGTGCTGAGAAGATCAGCAGAGAACATGTTCTCTGCTGATCATCTATATTTCATAAATCCCTAATGAACTGAATGAGCAGCGATCCTTAGGATCGCTGCCGATCTAAGTTGCATAAATGTGCGCCAAAGCGTATAAAGCTCCAATCTGAGGTGTTTCTAGTCCCTAGCAAGGAAAACTACCAACGGTTGAGCTAGCTCACGTTGGGTCCTAAAAATCTGATGGCAAGGTTTAAATCTGAGATTAAAAAGAACATTGACCAGGGCAGTGCAGTGAGGAATCTTTTGCGTGCTCACTGGGGCCAAGTTGGTGCACAAGTAGGAAGAGATGAAGGTGACAGTCCCTCAAAGGATTAATGCAAGGAAAGGAAGAAAGGTGGCACTTTAGGTGGCACTTGACTTGGGTGGTGTCCCTTTATTGCACTGAGCAGGTTACAAATTTTGGTCAGAAAGGTGTCAGAAGTTGGGAAAAGCCCTTGCTGGCAAAAGGGCAACTCCACTCTGGCTGCAATAACCAATGGCAATAGTGGTAGAGGTTCCTTTAATAAGGTAGGCAAATGGTTAAGGGAGCACTGATGTAATCTGGCCTGCAGAAGTCGTGCACTGTGGTCAGCTCTGATGATTGGACTGTGCTGCAAAAGTGCTCAGAAAAAATTCCAGTAAACCTGGATGTAAGCTTGCAGCATTTGCTTTGCTAAGCCTACAGCTGTCATGTGGTGATGTACTGTGGCCGGGCATGGTTGAGACCTTGTGCATTATTGTAAAAAATGTATTGAAAGGATAAAAAGTAAGTATTGTACTCACAATGGACAAACAGGTCAAAGGCACATCACACTAAACAGTGGTGTCCAGTCCACATAGCGTATAAGTCCAAAAAAAATGGAACCCTGGACTTCCAACAGGCTAACACGTTTCAAGTTCTCAACCATGTGCACAGCAGGGTGAGACAGTGTATTATTAGATTTTAAATGGCATAGGAACTTATTTTTTAATGTTTTATATAGCTTAACCTACAAAAGGGGCCAGCCTAAAGTGGTCTAGCAAGACTTAATTTTCTGGCTAAAGTTCCATTTTAAATATAGACCCCCAATAAAATGTCTCATTGTGCATTATGTGTGAAACGCATCTGTTTTTTCAGGAAGGCTTTCTGATCCTCTTGTATAGTAGCTGTGAGTTGCAACCCAAAAACATCCTTGAACCTGGAAGGAAGAGAAGTACTTGTCAGCAGTACTTGTTTAATTAATGTGTAAGTTAATGTAAGTTAATGTGTAGTTTATGTCTAAATTTAAAGATGCTTATTTGTAACTGTTTTCAATATCTTTAATAGCAATTGACATTTTGATACTGCTGATGAAGTGGACCTTATAAGTACAGTAAACATGTTGAGTTCAAGACTGCACATCAGAAGCGTCTATAGCAGTGGTTCTCAACCTTTCTAACGCCGCGACCCCTTAATACAGTTCCTCATGTTGTGGTGACCCCCCCAACCATAAAATTATTTTCGTTGCTACTTCATAACTGTAATTTTACAGTAGGAGGAATAGTGCCACGTCATTGGTGTCAGTGGGAGGAATAGTGCCCCATCATTGGTATCAGTGGGAGGAATAGTGCCCCATCATTGGTGTCAGTGGGAGGAATAGTGCCCCATCATTGGTATCAGTGGGAGGAATAGTGCCCCCTTCATTGGTGTCAGTGGGAGGAATAGTGCCCCGTCATTGGTGTCAGTGGGAGGAATAGTGCCCCGTCATTGGTGTCAGTGGGAGGAATAGTGCCCCGTCATTGGTGTCAGTGGGAGGAATAGTGCCCCGTCATTGGTGTCAGTGGGAGGAATAGTGCCCCCTTCATTGGTGTCAGTGGGAGGACTAGTGCCCCATCATTGGTATTAGTGGGAGGAATAGTGCCCCGTCATTGGTATCAGTGGTAGGAATAGTGCCCCGTCATTGGTGTCAGTGGGAGGAATAGTGCCTCATCATTGGTGTCAGTGGGAGGAATAGTGCCCCATCATTGGTATCAGTGGGAGGAATAGTGCCCCATCATTGGTATCAGTGGGAGGAGGAATAGTGCCCCATCATTGGTATCAGTGGGAGGAATAGTGCCCCATCATTGGTGTCAGTGTGAGGAATAGTGTCCCATCATTGGTGTCAGTGGGAGGAATAGTGCCCCATCATTGGTATCAGTGGGAGGAATAGTGCCCCATCATTGGTATCAGTGGGAGGAATAGTGCCCCATCATTGGTGTCAGTGGAAGGAATAGTGCCCCATCATTGGTGTCAGTGGGAGGAATAGTGCCCCCATCATTGGTATCAGTGGGAGGAATAGTGCCTCATCATTGGTATCAGTGGGAGGAATAGTGCCTCATCATTGGTATCAGTGGGAGGAGGAATAGTGCCCCGTCATAGGTGTCAGTGGGAGGAGGAATAGTGCCCCGTCATTGGTGTCAGTGGGGAGGAGGAATAGTGCCCCGTCATAGGTGTCAGTGGGGGGAGGAATAGTGCCCCGTCATAGGTGTCAGTGGGGGGAATAGTGCCCCGTCATTGGTATCAGTGGTAGGAATAGTGCCCCGTCATTGGTGTCAGTGGGAGGAATAGTGCCCCGTCATTGGTGTCAGTGGGAGGAATAGTGCCCCGTCATTGGTGTCAGTGGGAGGAATAGTGCCCCGTCATTGGTGTCAGTGGGAGGAATAGTGCCTCATCATTGGTATCAGTGGGAGGAATAGTGCCTCATCATTGGTATCAGTGGGGGAATAGTGCCCCATCATTGGTGTCAGTGGGAGGAATAGTGCCTCATCATCGGTATCAGTGGGAGGAATAGTGCCCCATCATAGGTGTCAGTGGGAGGAGGAATAGTGCCCCATCATAGGTGTTAGTGGGGGGAATAGTGCCCCATCATTGGTGTCAGTGGGGGGAATAGTGCCCCATCATTGGTATCAGTGGGGGGAGGAATAGTGCCCCATCCTTGGTGTCAGTGGGGGGAGGAATAGTGCCCCATCCTTGGTGTCAGTGGGGGGAGGAATAGTGCCCCATCATAGGTGTCAGTGGGGGGAGGAATAGTGCCCCATCATTGGTGTCAGTGGGGGGAGGAATAGTGCCCCATCCTTGGTGTCAGTGGGGGGAGGAATAGTGCCCCATCCTTGGTGTCAGTGGGGGGAGGAATAGTGCCCCATCCTTGGTGTCAGTGGGGGTAGGAATAGTGCCCCTTCCTTGGTGTCAGTGGGGGGAGGAATTGTGCCCCATCGTTGGTGTCAGTGGGGGGAGGAATTGTGCCCCATCGTTGGTGTCAGTGGGGGGAGGAATTGTGCCCCATCGTTGGTGTCAGTGGGGGGAGGAATTGTGCCCCATCGTTGGTGTCAGTGGGGGGAGGAATCGTGCCCCATCCTTGGTGTCAGTGGGGGAGGAATAGTGCCTCATTGTTGGTGTCAGTGGGGGGAGGAATAGTGCCTCATCATTGGTGTCATTTGGGGGAGGAATTGTGCCTCATTGTTGGTGTCAGTGGGGGGGAGGAATAGTGCCCCATCGTTGGTGTCAGTGGGAGGAATAGTGCCCCATCATTGGTGTCAGTGGGAGGAATAGTGCCCCATCATTGGTATTAGTGACACCAATGATGGGGCACTATTCCCACTGACACCAGTGATACTTACCTTGCAGACCCCTGCTCCAGCCTGGGCTCGCTCGCTCCCTCCCTCTCCCATGGTACCGACACTTACCTGTCAGCTGTCTTCCTTCTCCGGCCGCTCTCCTCCTCTTCACTCGCTCGATCTTCGCGGTGCCGCTCGGCCCCTCCTCTCCAAGCTCCACCTCCTTGCCGGTGATTGGCCGCCTGTGTGCCTGAGCTACAGTGCAGGCGGCCAATCACAGGCGAGGATTGATCTCGAGGTGTGTGTCCAGATGACAGGGGCGGCATGTCATCCCGCCCACACCTGGAGACGGCGGTGGCGGCGGCGGCGAGGAGCGGTGTCTCGGTTCCTAAGACCATCGGAAATATGTGTTTTCCGATGGTCTTAGGCGACCCCTGTGGAAGCGTCGTTCGACCCCCAAAGGGGTCGCGACCCCCAGGTTGAGAACCGCTGGTCTATAGGAACTAATCCACTAGTGTATTGGGTATTATACGTGTTGTGTAAAGTTGTGTTACCTGTGACAGGTGATAGTGTATTTACGTGTAAAGGAGATCATCACAGTGCCCCCCCTTGTTTTTGTTTTAGTTTTGCTTTTAAAATTTTTTTATGATTTTATGCTTTTTGTTCCAATAAAAATATTGTAATTGAAAAAAAAAATGTTGTTATGGTGGTAGGAAAGTCAATATATGAAAATCCGCTGACAGGCAGGGCATTTATAACAGAAGAGACCTTAGAAGTCTTGTATATAAAAAACAGCAAAAAAAAAGGACTGTTTAGGAACAAAACATATAACAGTCACAATGAAAAAGTAATACGTTTATTACAGAAATCATTAAAAGTTACACAAAACATTTTACATACAGTCATGGCCGAAATTGTTGGCACCCTTGATATTTCTCCAGGAAATCATGTATTTCTCACGAAACGTATTGCATTAACACATGTTTTGCTATACACATGTTTATTCCCTTTGTGTGTATTGGGACAAAACAAAAAAAGGGAGGAAAGAAAGCAAATTCGACATAATGTCACACAAACCTCCAAAAATGGGCTGGACAAAAGTATTGGCACCCTTTCACAACTGCGGATAAATAAGAATGTTACAAGCATGTGATGCTCCTGTAAACTCACCTGGGGCAAGTAACAGGTGTGGGCAATATAGAAATCACACCTGAAAGCAGATAAAAAGGAGAGACGTTCACTTAACCTTTGCATTGTGTGTCTGTCTGTGCCACACTAAGCATGGACAACAGAAAGAGGAGACGAGAACTGTCTGAGGACCTGAGAACCAAAATTGTGGCAAAATATCAACAATCTCAAGGTTACAAGTCCATCTCCAGAGAACTAGATTTGCCTTTGTCCACAGTGCGCAACATTATCAAGAAGTTTGCAACCCATGGCACTGTAGCTAATCTCCCTGGTCGTGGACGGATGAGGAAAATTGATGAAAGATTGCAACGCAGAATAGTCCGGATGGTGGATAAGCAGCCCCAAACATGTTCCAAAGACATTCAAGCTGTCCTGCAGGCTCAGGGAGCATCAGTGTCAGCGCGAACTATCCGTCGACATTTAAATGAAATGAAACGCTATGGCAGGAGACCCAGGAGGACCCCACTGCTGACACAGAGACATAAAAAAGCAAGACTACAGTTTGCCAAAATGTACTTGAGTAAGCCAAAAGCCTTCTGGGAAAACGTCTTGTGGACAGATGAGACCAAGATAGAGCTTTTCGGTAAAGCACATCATTCTACTGTTTACCGAAAACGGAATGAGGCCTACAAAGAACAAAACACAGTACCTACGGTAAAATATGGTGGAGGTTCAATGATGTTTTGGGGGTTTTTTGCTGCCTCTGGCACTGGGTGCCTTGACTGTGTGCAAGGCATCATGAAATCTGAGGATTACCAAAGGATTTTGGGTCGCACTGTAGGGCCCAGTGTCAGAAAGCTGGGTTTGCGTCCAAGATCCTGGGGTCTTCCAGCAGGACAATGACCCCAAACATACGTCAAAAAGCACTCAGAAATGGATGGCAAAGAAGCGCTGGAGAGTTCTGAAGTGGCCAGCAATGAGCCCAGATCTAAATCCCATTGAACACCTGTGGAGAGATCTTAAAATTGCTGTTGGGAAAAGGTGTCCTTCCAATAAGAGAGACCTGGAGCTGTTTGCAAAGGAAGAGTGGTCCAAAATTCCGGGTGAGAGGTGTCAGAAGCTTATTGATGGTTATAGGAAGCGACTGATTTCAGTTATGTTTTCCAAAGGGTGTGCAACCAAATATTAAGTTAAGGGTGCCAATACTTTTGTCCAGCCCATTTTTGGGGTTTTGTGTGACATTATGTCATATTGCTTTTCTGCCTCTGTTTTATATTGTTCCAATACATACAAAGGGAATAAACATGTGTATAGCAAAACATGTGTTAATGCAATACCTTTTTTGTGTGAAATACTTGATTTTCAGGAAAAATATCAAGGGTGCCAACAATTTCGGCCATGACTGTATAAAAGAGCATAGTGACATGTTTGGTACATCAAATATACAAAAACCACCATAAGATACATAAGCAAACATATGCAAAAAAAACCCCCAATGCATTTCAATGCTTGACACGGATCTTTCTCAGCGGGATGTATCATAGTGGTGAAACAGGACCAACAATTTAAACAATCGTTGTACTTTCTAAGTGGAGAATAAATCCCCATCAAAGGAGAAAGAGGGTCTGTCTTGAGGGAGTGCAAAGGAAGCCAGATTGATGGAATATGTCTAGTGGTCTTTCACTCCACATAAAGTTGGAGGCAAAGACATGGAGGTTCAACCATCTGAACAAAAAAGGAAGGGCACAACAGTGATCAGTGTCTGTCGAGATAAAAGTTGGCAATGGAAATGTGTCCCCAGGAAAAAATGGGGGTAAACGTCCAAGCACACCATATCCTCTGCCCTCACTTTTCAAGAGACCAACTTATAGGTATTGGTATGCTGGGGGAACCTTTTTTTCATCAGCAAGAGTTTACTACCACTTTAATATGTAGTTCCTCGAAAGTCCAGCTGCTTGCTCTAATTGCCAAAAAATGTTCTAGAGTTAAGTTTTATTTATAATTCAAAGCTGTGAAGTACTATCATTCTGAAAATGCACTGTTATAGTAAAAAGTAGAGATGAGCGAATTATTCAAAAATTCGATTCGGCTGATTCGCCGAATTTGCGGAATAAATTCGATTCGATGCGAATTTATTCGCTGCGAATTTAACTTATTAAAAGGGTTTCTAGGCTTCAGAGAGCCTTTATATTAGTGCAGAACACTGTACCTTTAATTTAAATGCCCTTGGAGTCTGCTGGGGAAGAGAACTAATACTGTCAGTCAGTATGACATGCAGATGAGTGCCGTCGATCTTAGAATCACCGCACACTTCACTCATTTGGGCAGTCATGGGGCCAAAACCAGAGTGTGGAGCCACAGTGTGGCGGTGGAGGCAGCAGCAATGGGAGGCCATACAGCACCCTATGACAAAATGGAACCCACCAGCAGTGTGAGGAGACCTGAAAGTGGCACATGGCAGAGTGTGGCGATGGAGACAGCAGCAATGGGAGGCCGTACAGGGACCCATGACACACTCTGGACCTGGCAGCAGCATGAGGAGGCGGTACAGGGGCCCATGGCAGAGTGGCGAAGCGTAAGCAGCTTAAATTGAAGGCCATACAGAGGCCTATGTTAAAAAGTCCCCCCAGCAGCAGTGTGGGGAGACGACTATCAAGAGTCCAATGGCAGAGTGGCGGAGCAGAAGCAGCTTCAATTGAAGGCCATACAGAGGCCTATGTTAAAAAGTCCCCCCAGCAGCAGCGTGGGGAGACGACTATCAAGAGTCCAATGGCAGAGTGGCGGAGCGGAAGCAGCTTCAATTGAAGGCCAATAGTGGTTGTGAAGCAGAAAGTCAGTTTATTGTACACAATTGGTCAATTGCAGCTTGCCGTTGGCTGGAAACTGTACGTTTGTGTCACTGGAATGCACTAATCACCCAAAAAATATTACCGCCAGCCGGCGTGTAAATGGATTTAACTCTTTGAACGTACAATAGTGGTTGTGAAGCAGAAAGTCAGTTTATTTTGCACAATCGGCAAACTGCAGCACCAACTGTGCACGACAGCCACCAAAAAAAAAAAGGGTGTATGTCACTTTAAATTTTCGATTCTTTGATAGCTGTGGCCCTAAGTAACGATTCTGTGTCCCTGAGTAACGATTCTGTGTCCCTGAGTAACAATTCTGTGTCCCTGAGTAACGATTCTGTGTCCCTGAGTAATGATTCTGTGGCCCTAAAGTCTCTGTGGCCCTAATGCAGGCCATAGATGGGTCGAAAATCGGCCGATTTTTCAGCCGAAAATAAAATCGGCCGATTTTCGGATCGTTAGTGGGCTATTTGGTCGG